TTTTTTTATTTTAAAAATATTTCAAAATTTTTAAAAGTTAATCAGATTAAAATTAAGGCAGTGCATCTTGACCATTCTTTCAATTTTTTTAGGAATGCCTATTTTTAATTAATTCAATTTTTTATATGAATTTTTTTAAACAAATTTTATAATTTCGGATGAAAACAAAAATTAGCGAGGACTGACCCCTCTGGCTTTCTCTCACTACTAGTTCTCACTTGCTCTCTTGCTTCTTTAGCCCTCTATTTTCCTCTTTCGCAGGGCGATTCGAACTTCGAATCTCCAATCAACTCCTTTGTGAGAGAGCCTGATTGCCGCCTCGAGTATTGCGGCGCTGAGGTCTCGCTTACTTCTTTCTACCGTTCTTGCTCCATGTCGGCAGATGCATTGTGAGTGAGGAACTGACGAGTTCTCACTGCTCCGCTTATTAGTACGGGCGGAAAGGTAACTCCATTGATCCAGTAGAAATCGCGGAGATCTACTGTCTCAAGGCCGGCAGTGGGTTTAGATCCTGGTGAGGCTTCCTGCGGCTCCCGCTGAAGTGCTTATCCTTGAAGTAATGCTGCCTGGTTTCGGATTTGCTATGAAAGCTAGTTGTCGTGCTGGCATTTTCGAGTTCCGGAGCACGATTCGAAACGCGTTGTATCAAGAAACACTGCGTTTCGTGCTTTTCTGTGCTAGTTTATGATTTTATCGAGAAGTATACGAATTTAGATGGTTATGTGTGCTTATATTTTTCTTCGTTCAAGCGCTGCTTAAGTGCTCTGTGTGGTGTGTTTATTTGAATAATATAATTGGTTTACTGTTTTCGCTGACTGACGATTGAATTAGATTGTATTGTTCACTTGAGAGTTTCTTGAATGATCCTTTGTTTCATTGGCTTGAAGTAGGAGCCGACTAAACCCTACGTTTTTAAATTTGTTTTTCTGCTTGTTGTTTTACGCGGCGTGGAGTCGACGCTTTTGTTTGGGCAGGTTTTTCATTGAAGAATATTGGTGTAATTTGGAAACTAGTTTGGTTATGATGAACACGAAATGCATCAACCCAAGTGACACTGTTAGATGATGTAATGCTACCTGTAAACACATTTAGAGAACTTTCCATTTCTCTGACGTGTAAAGTCTGAGAGTGTGTATCCTGTTGTTGGTGAGGGCAGAGCTTCATTAAGTTATGAAAAGAGTTGGAGCTAGATTGAGTTATTTTAAGGGGTATGAGCAATATGAGGTTATTGGAGCAGAGATTTGGGCAAAAGGAAGCATTTGGCTCAATGCTCTTCTGTACGTGAAGCACACAGGTGGAAAAGAAAAAAGTAAGTAGAGAGGAGGCTCACGTTGTATTTGTCTTTCGCTGATCCATGGCATTGCGTTTAGCTTTGGTGGATTTTTATGTATTTCATCTTGATTTTCTTAGGTATGTCCTGAGAAAATCAGGCTTGCTCGGCAGACAGATAGGTGCCGCAGGTCTGCACACCTGGAGTAAAATCTTTGCTGTTGTGCCACAGTTGTTTATTTGGCGAATTCGTTTGTAGCCAGTGGCTTACACTTAGCATGAGTAATTCCAGATGCATCTACAGTTGGTCAATTTGGTTGTAATGATAAATGGACAAATTTCTATGCTTATGTTAATGAGAACAATGCTCTTTAGACCCATTGCTTATAGATGTTATTTTTCTAGAATCATTACATCGAAAATAATTTAAAATATTATTTTTCCTTTATTTTAATGCTTTTTTTCTTGCTATCTAACATAGCCGTTCTTTTAGCATGATTTAGTATCGTTCCATTCTATAAAGATAACATCGGTACACCTTAAGTGCCGACCTTTTCCAGTGCTGCAGGTTTCCTCTATATATTTGATTTTAGTTATCAGAATTTCATTGTTTCTGCAGAGTGAGACATATCTAAAGTGCGGAATCCATTCATTGTGAGGAATACAAGATTCTGGGTTGAAAAAGGTCTTAGTGAGCACACCTTTGTGATCATTAAAAGTCACCATATATGGGTGTTTATTGTTCGAGGATTCATTCTAATGTTATTGACCTAATTAGATTTCAAGCATGATTGGTAGTATTTACTATATAATAAATTTAAGAAGTCCAATTTTTTCTTGGACTTTCAGAATTCTTTTTTTATCGTGGTGGCCATTGTTAGCATTTTTAATCACTTTTGTTTTCGCATAATTAATTTTTATTTCTCATATCAAACATGGATGTTGGATGGCAATACTTATGTTTCACGTACGTGACAATTGCTCCAAGATTGCTATAACCTTTTCATCGAGTTTTTCTGAACTAGGTTTGACAAACGTTATTTTTGCTGCACTAAACTTTTGGGTAATCAGATTCCAGAGCCCGCCCAAAAAATCTAATATCTGAATTTAAACCACTCATATCGCGCCTATTTCCCACGTCCCTTGATCGGTTATCTAGCCAACTTAAATTCTTAACTACGGAAAACATTTCTAGGACCTAGTCAATGGATTATTTGGTTGATCTTCGACCTCATTAAAAATCAATACTCACTCATTGATTTTAGTAATTGAATGTTATCTGCATCTTCATGGCGATTGTGGATGAAATGAAATAGTAATTTGTGGGAGCATGTATTCAAATAGCAGGGCGTATGTTTGTATTATTCATAGTGGTATTGTAGAGCAGGTGGCCGACATGTAAGTCTCTATGTCCCTACATGCGTTCGACTAAACCAAAGACTAATCTGTAGCCTAAGTGTTCTGCAAAACCTGGGCAATGCGGTCATCTTTGAATCCGTCTTGTTCTGGACAGAGGCTGAAGTTATAAAAAAAGGCGATGGACACCTTTTTTCACTGAAGATGGTCATTTTATTTTGAAAACAAACTAAAAATACTTTCCCTTTCCCAGAACCTGAAAACCACGCAGAAAATAAGGATGAGCAAACACAGCTCAGCAAGACATCACTCACCAATCTAAATCATCAGAAATTCACATCAGAAAATAGCCGTACGGAAATCATAGAACAGATACTTGATCAACAGAAATCAAACAACTGATACAGAAAACTGAAGTCATGTCGAATCGGAGTTCAGAACAGATATCATAAAGCTTACAAGTCACAGAGCAGACATAATCGTACGGAATAACCAGAATCGTACAGAAATCAGATAAAATCACATTCATATCAGATAATTCTAATTAGATAACTCATAAAAGAGATAAGATAAGTCACAGCATAGATTATCAGATATTAAACATCAGATTTCAGATAACATATAACATATCAGATTTCAGATTCCCAGACCCTTACAGAATCTCTACGGATTCTGGCCCCTTATGCCTCCCTTCCCTGACACTTACAGAATCTCGACGGATTCTGACCCCTTATGTCTCCCTTTGTGCTTATAGCACCAGAACAGAACAAATATTCAAAATTCCGGAACAGAATTTATTTTCAGATTTCAGAGCTCATATCAGATTTCCCTGACACTTACAGAATCTCAAAAGATCCTGGCCCCTTATAACTCCCTTCTGATAATATACAAACACTTCAATTCATTCAATATATCAATTCAGAAAAATCAGAATTCGTACGAAAAATCAGCAGTATAACGGCAGTATACGGAATTTACACAAAATTCACAGATTCAGAAATTTATCAAATTATCACAGAATATCCATAACAACATTATAAGATTTTTACTGTACTGAAGTAACATTTTTCAACATCCTGATAACTTGCAATTCAATTAAAACACCGTAGAATTCAAAATATCCGGTAAAAATCTTCCATAAAATATCCAAAACGTTCATAATTATCATCTCAAAAACATATCAAAAGTTACGCCATAAAACCTTTGTCAGAAGAAAATAATACCAGAAATTCGCTAACGGAAACAAAATCCGGAACATAAAAGTCTTCAAAATTATCGTTTCTGAAAATTGAGAAAGGCGGAATGTGCCTTACCTCGAGTCGATCAACTTTCCCAACTACGGCGACGGATGAAAACGAGTCGAAGTCGCTCAAAAATCCATTTTTCTTCCTCTTTCCACGGTTTTCTCTCTTGGACTTTCTCTCTCTTCAAAAAACGACACCATTCAGATATTTATTAAGCAGGATCGTCCCGGACGATGTCCCGATTCGTCCCGGGACGATCTTCTCTGGACTCAAATCGTCCAGACGAATTTAATTCCAATTTATTTCGTCCATGGACGAAACTCTCGGGTTCAGTTCGTGCCGACGGTTCGTCCCGACCCTTCCAGGTTCGTACAGACGAAAATGAAAGATTATTCACAATTTTCTTCAGTTCGTCCGGGACTAACATCACTAAAAAAAATAGCTTTTGAGGGGTTTTACAGGTAGTTGGTGGTGACAATGTCGATGAGTTTCCATTGTTTTTCAAAATCGCCCAAATCAGAGTAATTCAAAATACACTTGATTTGAACTATAGGGTGAATTTTTTTACTTCAAAATTTTACTCTCCATTCCTTTGGCTTTAACAAAATACAAATATTTCTAAAGCCCTGCATTTGGACATTACAACCCTAATATAGGCAACCAAAGATCCCCTTAGCATCACCATATGAATGGTCCTCATCTAATGCACAAAATAATGATCACACAATATAAGGGTGTTTGTATTAACATTATAATATATTATTTATTAACATTATAAATTTAAATATATTTTGGGAAAATACTAATCTTTTATAAAGCTTCAATAAACAACTAAACAAATTACAAGAAAATATTTAGATGAATATACTCTAAATGATTTTAAAATTTTAAAAAATTATTCTAAAATAGGCACATTATATGAATTAATTGATTTTTATAATTTGCATTTAAAATATATTCAAAATTTTTAAAAGTAATCAGGATTAAAATTAAGGCAGTGCATCTTGACCAATCTTTCATATTTTTAGAATTTGCCCTATTTTTAATTAATTCAATTTTTATATGATTTTTTTTTTTAACAAATTTATAATTCGGATGAAACAAAAATTAGCGAGACTGACCCCTCTGGCTTTCTCTCACTACATAGTTCTCACTTGCTCTCTTGCTTCTTTAGCCCTCTTTTTCCTCTTTCGCAGGCATTCGAACTTCGAATCTACCAATCAACTCCTTTTGAGGAGCCTGTTGCCGCCTCGAGTTGCGGCGCTGGTCTCGCTTCTTCTTCTCCTTCTTGCTCCCATGTCGGAGAGCATGTGAGTGAGGAACTGCGAGTTCTCACTGCTCCGCTTCTTTTAGTCGGCGAGGTCTCCATGATCCAGTAGAATCGGAGATCTCTGTTCGGCCGGCAGTGGGTTTAGATCCGGTGAGGCTTCTGCGGCTCGCTGAGTGCTTATTTGAAGTAATGTGCCTGGGTTTCGGTTTGCTATGAAAGCAGTTTCGGCTTGCATTTCGAGTTCGGAGCACGATTCGAAACGCGTGTGTATCAGAAACTGCGTTTCGTGTCTTTTTCTGTTGCTAGTTTATGATTTATCGAGAGTTACGAATTTAGATGGTTATTGTGCTTATTTTTCTTCGTTGCAGCGCTGCTTAAGTGCTTGTGTGGTTGTGTTTATTTGAATAGTATATTGGTTTCTGTTTTCGCTGACTGACGATTGAATTGATTATTTGTTATTGGGTTTTCTTGAGATCCTTTGTTTTCATTGGCTTGAAGTAGGAGCCGACTTAACCTGCGTTTTTTTAAATTTGTTTTTCTGCTTGTTGTTTTACGCGTCGTGGATCGGACCTTTTTGGGCAGTTTTTTCATTGAAGAAATTGGTGGTAATTTGGAACTAGTTTTTTATGATGAACACGAATGCATTCAACAAGTGACATGTAGATGATGTAACTGCGACCTTAACACATTTAAGCTTTCCGTTCTCTGAGTGTAAGTTTGGGGTGTGTATCCTGTTGTAGGTGAGGGAGAGCTACATAAGTTTGAAAGAGTTGGAGCTAATTGTTATTTTAAGATGGAGCAATATGAGGTTTTGGAGCAGATTGGCAAAGGAGCATTTGGCTCTGCTCTTCTCGTGAAGCACAAGGTGGAAAAGAAAAAGTAAGTAGAGAGGAGGCTCACTTGTATTTGTCTTGCGCTGTATCCATGGCATTGCTTTAGCTTTGGTGGGATTTTTATGTATTTCTTCTTGATTTTCTTAGGTATGTCCTGAAGAAAATCAGGCTTGCTCGGCAGACAGATAGGTGCCGCAGGTCTGCACACCTGGAGGTAAAATCTTTGCTGTTGTGCACAGTTGTTTATTTGGGATTGTTTGTAGCCAGTGGCTTACACTAGAATGAGTTAATCCCATGCACTCTACGTTGGTCAATTTGGTTGATAAATGGACAAATTTCTATGCTTTGTAATGAGAACAATGCTCTTAGAACCATTGCTTATAGATGTTATTTTTCTGAATTCATTACATGAAAATATATTTAAATTATTATTTTTCCTTTATTTTAATGCATTTGGTTTTTTTTTGCTTCTGACATTAGCCGTTCTTTTAGATGATTTAGTTTCCTTTTAGATAACTGGTAACCTTTGCCGACCTTTAGGTGCTGCATTTTATATATTGATTTTAGTTATTAGAATTTCATTGTTTCTGCAGATGGAGCTTATTTCTAAAGTGCGGAATCCATTCATTGTGGAATACAAGGATTCTTGGGTTGAAAAGGTCTGTGAGCACACCTTTGTTATCATAAAAGTCACCGTATTGGGTGTTTATTGTGAGGATTCATTCTTAATGTTATTGACCTATTAGATTTCAAGCATGATTGTTTTTTTTTTTACTTTCATTAATCTTTTTTAATGTGGTGGCCATTTTTAGCATTTTTTTTCATTTTGTTGTCCTAATTATTTTTATTTCTCATACCAACATGTTGTTGATGGCAATACTTATGTTTCCTGTACTTGTGATCATTGCTCCAAGATTGCTATAACCTTCATCGAGTTTTTCTTGACTAGTTTGATAAAGTTCTTTTGCTGTACTAAACTTTGGTTAATCAAGATTCCAGAGCCGCTAAATCTAATATCTGAAGTTTAAACAACTCATATGCCTTCCCTCGTCCCTTTATCGTTTATCTATCAATTTAATTCCGCAATACATTTTAGGACCTAGTCAATGGATTTTTTGATCTTCTGACCTCATTAAAATCAATACTCACTTCATGATTTAGTAAATTGAATTTATTCTGCATCTTCATGGCATTTATGATGAAAGTAATTTGTGGATTGTTTCATGCAGGGCTGTTATGTTTGTATTATCATAGGGTATTGTGAGGGTGGCGACATGTAAGTCTCTATGTGCCCTACATGCGTTCGACTAAAACTGAATCTTTATCAGTGTTCTGAAGCTGTCAATCTTTAATCTTGTTTTGGCAGGGCTGAAGTTATAAAAAAGGCGAATGGACACCTTTTCACTGAAGAGGTCATTTTATTTGAAAACAAAACTAAAATTACTCTTAAAAATTGCTTACTATTATTTTCAGAATGTTTTTGTTCTCTTAGCATTCATTTATATCATGTCTGCAGAAGCTTTGCAAGTGGCTTGTGCAGTTACTTATGGCTCTTGATTACTTGCATGTGAACCATATTCTTCACCGTGATGTCAAGGTGGGTAATCATAAATAGAACACTAATTGGATGTACCATGCACAAAATTCATGCTAATGATTTGTAATTGATCCAGTGTTCTAATATTTTCCTAGCAAAAGATCAGAGCCTTCGACTGGGTAAGATGCTAAATTCAAGCTAATTACTGAAATTGCTAAATAACTTACAAGTACTAAGTTACGCTACTTGCAGGTGACTTTGGCCTTGCAAAAATGTTAAGTTCGGATGATCTTGCATCATCTGTGAGCACTGTCCTGAAATTGTCATTCTAATTCCTTTTCACTTTTTTTTTTCTAAATTGCATCCTGCTGTCCTGGGTTTATTGATTTTTCAGGTTGTTGGAACTCCCAGCTATATGTGCCCAGAGCTTCTAGCAGATGTACCTTATGGTTCCAAGTCTGATATATGGTCTTTAGGTAATCTTTGTGAACTGTGCCAGACTTCATTGAAATATTGCGAGTGCTTAATTTTTATATTTCATTTTATATTTCTCCAGGATGTTGCATATATGAAATGACTGCTCTGAAGCCTGCTTTCAAAGCTTTTGTAAGTTGGAATATCTCATATAACTTTTTCACGAAGTAGTAGAATTTATTCTTAACTATAGATCTCTTGCATGCTCATCAATGTAGAGTATGCTGCATATAGTGAATGTTATATCAAATTATTTGTGGGAGTGTTTTTTTTTTAGATATAATTGTTGCGGAGTGTGAACCAAAAGTGGATAAAAAATTAGGCCTGGTATATCAGTTATCAAACCCATTTTTTTAACCCCAAAAAAAAAGCTATGGGTGAAGGAAACAATTAATAATTCTTCACTAATATGTTTTTCATCTATCCTATTTGTGACCACAATACTTTCATGTATCTTAACAAATCTCTAAGAGTTATGAATATTGACTATCACTAAAAAAAAATGCTTTTTAGCATTGTCAACTATTACATTGCCAATTCAACTATATGGAGCCGTCGTGAGAATCATCCATTTTAACCTTGGTGAAACATGTTGGAAACTCTCCATGACCCATGAAATCCACAAACTGCATGAAACGCGTGATCTTCATTGACTCATACTTTCAGATGCTTATTTTTAGGGTAGAACCCAGTTTTTTTTCTTGAAAGTACTTACCAAGAACATGTATGATGATCATGCCAAGTAATAGCTTATCAAGCGCCACAAAGAATGCCAAGTTTTATGTTTGTAAAACGTAGCCTACATGACCTGGAAAGAAGAGGATTTGATCAATTATAGGTAAAGCTACATAGTTGTACAAGTAAAAGAACACATGAAAATGTTCTTAAAATCATGTCAACATAATCTTATGAAAAAAAGAGAAACCCCAAATCTCTTTATCCAAATACAAGGGTGAATAACATAAAGAGAGATGATAAATACAAAAGATTTAAAAAATCCGAATAATCTCAGCATGAATGTTACTTAAACAGTAGCATTATGCATGTCTATGAAGCCATAACATTATTTCCTACACCACTATACCTGCGTCACAAGATTTTCTACAGTCATAAGTCATAACAAATGAATCACATCTAATTATTTCTTCTTTATTTTTTCCCTTCAAATTTCTCTCTCTCACTCTATTTTCTAAGTACAAAAGAATCAAAATAGTCTCTTGACTTTATATGAAAGATCAAAATGGTCCCCAACTATTTTAAAGCATCATTTTGGTCCCTCAACTCTTTAAAGAGGAACCAAAATAGTCTTAATATAGGACTATTTTGATTTCTTTTAAAGACTTGAGGGATCAAAATGACCCTTTGATATAGTTAGAGACCATTTTGATCCTTTATAAAAAATCAAGGGATCATTTTGGTACTTTTCCCATTTTCTAAAGTACTTTTGGATGAATGTTTTTAAAATGGATGTATTTAAAAGATATAGAATAATTGGAATGCATGTATTTTAGAAATGCAACAGTTATTTGATTGAATACAAATCAAATATATTGAAATATTTTTTTGTATTTATTATCATGCATTTCAAAAGCATTGAAATTTGGCGGACGATGATGGGCTTTGTTAATGACTTGCGGGTGATGGGTGACAGTAAAGGTGTTGTTAGCGTGGGTGGCGTCGGAGGCCATTGACTAGAAATGTAATGTCATAGGCTGTGTTTTCCTTGTTTTTGGAACTCACCCAATTTTGGCTAATTTTGAATTCTTTGAAAACAAATATTATGGCGGATTCCTTAATCCAAAATCCTTCATGCACATGTTTTGTATTTGGTTTACTTTAAACCAAAAAAAAAACCTCATACAATTCTTTTACTTTATACTAATAATAGCAACGCCTAATAAAATCCCTACCACAAGAATTTCCTATTTTCCACTTCTCTTTCAGTTACATGGCTCAATTTATCATCTTGGAATGGAATATTGTGATTGTGGCTCCGTTAATATGGTTACTATTTAAAGGTACTAAGGAGATGAATTTAAATCTAAATCAGGTTCAAAATTTTGTTTTCAAGTTGATGCAAAATAATTGAAGTTGTAACAAAATTTAAAATCTAGTTTTATTTAAAACCTGAAGATTAATTTATATTTATGTTAAAGTCATATATTTTTATGTTTATCTTGAAAAAAAATATTTACTTTAGTCCTAAAACCAATATTTCTCTGAACTTACCTTACAAATATTTTTTGCGTCTAATTTCTCGACAATGGCACATAGCTTGAAATGATTACTGTATTTCAGCAATGGTAAGCCAAAGTTTTGGGCACCTCGAAATATTTGCTAGGATTTTATTATAAAAAAATATGTTTGTGTTTCTCAATAAATTAATTATGGAAAAAAAATTTCCCTGCATCAAGATTACATTAATGTGATCATACTGAAGAAAAGCTGAGGATTTTCTCTTAGATGTCTTAAGAGTTGCTTTACATGGGAAAAATATTTTTGAAATATCATTAATTTGCTAGAATTATGTTAGGAAGCACTTCTAGAAATACAAGAATACCTTGGGTTGAAATTGAATTTCAGCAAAGCCCAAAACAGTAAACAAGAAGAACTATGTGGAAGAACACAAGAGAACCTTTTTAATTGATGATAGATGAAAAGAAAACAAACAAATACAATGGATCTTCAATTGGGGAGGAAGATCCGTCTCTCTCAAACCCTAGCTACCCACTAGAGTCCCTTTCTACCTTTAGAAAAACTAAATTTAGCCAAACATAGCCTAACTTAACCCTAGGTTTAACAAAACTACTTAAATCATACAATATCTAGCAAAATAACCAAAACAACCCTCCAATTGAATTTCCCTCCTAAACCGTCCCCTCCTCTCTCTTCATTAAGCTGTGGGCCCCACCCCAAGGGTGAACGGCTGGCTACTAGGCAGAGCAGGCTTCTGCTTGGAGTAAACAAGGGTTGATCTCTTCTGAATCGGTCTCTCTTAGACCAGTCAAACAAGTTACTCTTCTGAATGCTATTCTACATTCAAACAATGCTAGTAAATTCGTGTGTTATACCCAACTCATCTTGATCTGTTGGTTGAGAGTTTAGGCTACCAACTAAGATGTCTTGGGTTAAAGTCTTGTGTATGAGATGTGTGTGTGAGTCTGCCTTAATTGGTCTAAATGTCCTAAAAAAAAAATTCGCGTGTTATACTTGTATAATACACATACGTAGGAATTATTTTTAAATATTTTTGTTTTCCTTCATTTTCAAATATATAGAAAAATTACTCATTTAAACGTAAAAACAATTAGTTCACATATAGTTCTCCTATATTTATGATAAATTCTTTTTTATATACCTTATTTTGGCATTCCAAAAATAATTTATAGGTGAAGTTTTTTTTTTTTAATGAAATACTTTGCATTTTTCACTCAGAATGCTTGAACAAAATCTGTATGATACATGTACGCATAGACGCTCTTTTACACTGTTTTACTAGTTAATGGATCACATTTGCTAAAGGCATACTCAAACTGAAAAAAAAAAAAACCCTCATTGAGCTTTCTTTCTTGCATTCTTACTATACGTCAAAAATCTCATTTGCCATTTTGCTAAAATGCAGGATATGCAAGGCCTGATAAACAAAATAAACAAGTCAATTATAGCTCCTCTCCCGAGTACATATTCCGGCCCATTGTAAGAGTTTCTCTTGTATTCATTTTTCATATTTGCAAACTAGGAGGCTTTTTGGAGGCGTTTTCTGTCTAATATTTTCTTATTCATTTGTTCAGTAGAGGACTTATTAAAAGCATGCTTAGGAAAAGCCCAGAACATAGGCCAAGTGTGAGTGTTCATGTTGTGCTTTTAGCCTTTTACTCCGCTACTACTTTAGTGGTACCATGCTTATAACTAGAAGAAAATGCAAAGTACGATTATTTTCTTGTTTGAAATACAATTTTTCAGGCTGCAGAACTGCTCAAGCACCCACACCTTCAGCCCTATGTACTCCAAGTACATTTGAAAACCAGCCCAAATCGCAACTCTCTTCCCATCCAACATCTCACAAGCAATCTTGTAAAGAAAATTAGATTTTCTGATGATGAAGATGATTTTGTCTGCAACAAAAATGACAAAATACAATCCTATGCCAATGAAAGGATTGTGAAGCCGAACCGAACCACAGCCGAGCGGGATTCCATTAGCTCCACAAAAAGCATTAAAGATCATCCTGAATATTTGAAACAAAAGATCAAGGACTTGTCAGTTGGCAGCAGTCATATAGGCCAGCCACGCCGTGGAAAAATGAACATTGATAAGCCAAGTCTTTCTAAGACACCTAAATATACTCCAGGCAAAGCTTTTGTTACTCCAAGAAAGCAAGAGGAACCTGCAAAAACTATATATAGTGTATCAAACCGTGAAATGGTATTCCTCTTGCCCTTCAAGCAAAATTTAGAGCAAAGTAATTTATTTTTCTTCGTGTACAATGCTTTAGTGGAAGATAAGATTAGAGAGTCTCCTTAGATGGTTTGGTCACATAAAATGATAGCCTTCCGATGACCTGGTTAGGAAAGTAGAGGTATTAGATTTGACTTTTGTTAAAAAAGGTAGAGGTATACCTAAAAAAGAGTTGGTTAGAAAATATTATAAATGATCTTTCTTTATTAGATTTAAATGAGAATTTGATTTTTAATGGGACAATGGAGAAAAAGGATTCATGTAGAAGACCCCACATTGTGGGACAAAGGCTTGATGTTGTTGTTGTGTACAATGCTAACATGGACTCATAGGTAGCAGTAAAAAAAATGAGATCTAGCTGCTCTAATAATTTTAATTCTGGAAATGTAGTGGAGATTTTTATGTTTTTGTTCCATTCATCTTCATCGTCGCACTAAATTATCCATTGCCCTAATTCACAGGCTTACATAAGGACACCAGCGGATCGTACTAGTAGATTCAGTAGGAGGGCGTCTCTGCCACTGCCTTCATTTGAAACACCTCACAGACGCAATGCTACTAGCATGCTTCAAAGGATGCAATCTCCAGAGGTTTCAGTCAATGCCCCTCGGATAGACAGGATTGCCGAATTCCCACTAGCTTCATCTGAAGATCCTCTGTTCTCTCTCCATAAGATCTCATCAGTTCATGGCTCCTCTTCCACCCCTCACTATGGAGATCGCTCAATCACCAAGGATAAATGCACCGTTCAAATATTTCGAACCGACGGAGATCTTGGGAGCGACTCTTCTGAAAGAAATCCTGCTGCTGTGGATGCATCAAGCCGGGGATCGTCGGAGTCCCGTCAACGGCGGTTCGACACATCATCATATCAGCAAAGGGCAGAGGCTTTAGAAGGTTTGTTGGAGTTCAGTGCGCAGCTGCTACAGCAGGAGAGGATTGAAGAACTGGGCATACTCTTGAAGCCTTTTGGCCCTGGAAAGGCTTCGCCGAGGGAGACAGCTATATGGTTGACAAAGAGCTTCAAAGAGACGGCACCGTGAAACTGTCTTAGGATTCTCAGGAACTTTTTCCCCTCAGTTTTTTTGTGTGAGGCTAATGAATAGGGTTAGTAGTTGCTAGTTTAGCATATTGTAGTCATGCTGTGATGTTCTTCATTTACTGTACAAAGGTGTTTCTCCATTTTAGATCGATTAGGTGTAGTTCACAGCTTGTAAACTACTCTTAATGAACCTGCATCGTCTTGTTTGGACTTAACTGGAAGAACTGGAACTGGACTTGGTTATTCTGGAAAGAAGCTATTTAATTTTAAGTATTCTTTACATTGCAGGTAGCCTCTGTAATTCTGGGGATTGAAATGATACTGATAACTTTAATGGTTCCTGTGATAAGAGCAACTCTGCTGTAAATGTTTTATTCATCCTTTATAGTGTACTAACAGTATTAGAATGTTTGTTTCGTGATCATTGAAAGTCAGATCAGGAAGACTGAATAATTGGCTTCAGGGAAAAACTGGAGCACAAACAGCTTTCTGTATGATCCTTCAAGCGACATGGATATTGGTGACAACTTAAAGGTGAGTTTGGATTGCTTTGCTCTATAAATTACTGTTATATTTTTGTTTGATTATGATTTTGATTTATTTTTGTTTTTTTTTTAGAATTTTGTGACGTGTTGAAAGTTTAGAAATTCCATCAAAATTTTAAAATTTCTCAGAATGAATTTTATAGGGAACTGCAGCAGGGATGATTTTATTTTCAACACTTACCGGTCTCAAGCACTAGGCAGCTTTTGCTTGGTCCCTCCCTCCTTCATTTGTGACCATCTCTGCACATCTCTCAAAACCCCTCTAACTCTTGTAAAAGTTCTCTTTTAATAGTTAAGCTTTTCCCATTTACTTTCTCTCTAGTATTCTTTAATGTCTAGCTAAGCATTGTAAGAAGTTGATGCTGACTTAGCAGAAGGAAGGGGTTTTAAAGCCGCATGGATGACTTAAAAACTAAAAAAACATCTCTCTATGTGACACAAAGCTCTCAACCAATAAATCAAAGTGGACTGTATATCTTGTATGCTCATCTCTCTTTTATTTCTTCTTCTCTCTCTCCTCTTTCGCAAAGATTGTGCACACACAAGTCACCAGAGTCCACTATCAAGTGCAAATATTGAGTCCATTTTCTATGGACTCTTGCACTGAGATGAGAAATGAAAGCTCTTCCTTTTCATCTCTCTTTCCCCAGCCTTCGATATTGCCTCCTCTAACCACCGTTGCGACATCATTTCTGTTTGCAACCATTTTCCACACAAACTGAAACTACATGATAAAGAAGAGGCTGGCAAATCTGATACATCTAAAATCTAGGGAAAGGAAAAAAAAAAACTTAGATGTTAAAATTCACGCCCTAAAATAAGGTGAACTCGAACAAATTTGTTTAATTCATTTACCAAATGAACATGAACAGGAACATATTGCTTATGTTTGGCTTGACAAAATCTAAAAAATATATATAAATGTATGCACAAAGGTCTTTGTTAGTGTTTGGCACATGTTGAACTCCTAATAAATGAAAAAAACACCAATAAGATTTGTTAGCCCGTGTTAAATTCGACAGTTTATAAGCCAGCAGAACCAAGCACCAGTAAGATCACAATAAGATAACTAAGATTTCATTTGGGACAACTTTCTTATTGCTTCTTAAAGCAGCTTTTTAGTACAAAAAATTTCATTTTTTATCCAAACAAAGCCTAAATAAAGACAAAAAAAACGGAAATCTGAGCATAGTGATAAAAACTTCAACATGAAACATAAAACCTACTAAAAATATCAAATAGCATTTGAAAAACAGCTTTTACCCTTAAAAAAATCCCAGGAAAAGGAATTCACCCCTCATTATCAGGAAACATGTATCTCATCTATAAAGCCAAATAAGTCACAAATACCACAATGAATTACATATTTAGAGAATAATCACAAGGAAATTGAAGCTCAATTTGGGATTTTTCACTCTCATATTAGTAGTAACAGAGTGCTCATTTGGTTTTGATGTTAATCCCTTCTTTTCCAGCAATAATAACTGCAGCAGCCATATCTAAAAACAACCCATGTTCAACTACTCCTTCCAATGCTGAGATCTCCTTTCCTGCAGCATTTGCATCCACAATTGGAGTTTTGAAGTACAAATCGACGATATAGTTTGAGTTGTCTGTAACATAAGGTTTTCCATCTGGATCCAATCTGAGCTTTGCCTCACATCCTTCTTTCTTGAACAATTCCTGCAACCTGGTTAGATTATATTGCCAGCAGAACTGCACCACCTCCACCGGCATCGCCAACCCGCTGCCGCCCAAGCCAGTCACGAGTTTTGTCTCATCGACGACGACAATAAATTTGTCAGAAGCAGCTTCAACCATCTTCTCACGAAGGAGAGCTCCGCCTCGTCCCTTCACAAGATTAAGATCTGGATCCACCTGTCCTAGTTTTAAATATCAAAAATGAAACTTAATTATAATAACACAAGAAAATAAATAAATTTATGAGATTTATAACAATAATAGTAAACTACCGGACCCTCATTCCCTAGAAAAATTATTAGGCGCAACATCTGGACACGTCCGGAGGTCAATCAGGATGCGCCACATCACCTAATGCACAATGCAATTGATGACGTGGCACCAATCCGCTTCGGACACGTTCGGATGCCGTACAGAATAATGTCTCCATTCCCTAATACTAAAACATAAAAATGAAAAATTTTCTTCTGATTAATATCCCAACATGCCGATCATGCACAAGATCATTTGGCTTTAAAGCTAGCATAGAAGAATGAACTTTAGTATAGACCCAACAGGCTAAGGTAATATAGCAATCAATATAAGAAGAAAAATGGGCGTTTAGGTTGTGGCCCGAGGATTTATTCAAATTCCTTCTAATGGTCAATTGCAATCTAACATTATAATAAGACATAAGATGTCTAGTATCCTGATGAACACCCTTTACTTTTCAACAGTGGCAAAGAGTGGTGCGCACCACCCTTAAATTTGAAGTGAATTTCTTAATATTATATATTACTGAAAATTTTGTGACCCCAAACTTAAATACATAATTGTAATTTCATAACAATCATATTTTAAAACTAATTATCATCATATATATTTTTCTTAATATTAATATGTTTATCATATTTTAATTATATATTGAGATGAATATTGCGATTAGTTTTGAGGTAGAATCAAAGGATTAATTATTTTGATGCAAAAAAAAAGTGATTGACAATATTTAAGATACTTGATCATGACACTTAGATAAGAAAATTTATTTTTTTTTAAGGTTTTTCTTATTTATAAACTTTTTTATTTAATCCCTTTTGGGATATTTATACTACAACAACAACATAAATCCTTTATCCCACTACGTGGGGTTAGCTACATGAATCATTTTTTTCCATTATATCCTGTTAAGAGTCAAATTCTCATTTAAATAGAATAAAGAAATGTCATTTCTAATATTTTCTAACCAAGTCTTTTTAGGTCTACATCTACATTTCTTAATATAGGTCAAATCTAATACATCAACTATCCTAAAAGGGTCATTGGAAGGCCGACCAAACCATCTAAGGTGACTCTCTCTAATCTTATCTATCACTGAAACTACTCCAACCTCTTCCTGGATATGCTCGTTTCGTATCCTCTCTCTAAGAGTAAGTCCACTCATCCACCTGAGCATCCTCATCTCAACAACACTTAATATTATGCTTCTCTTTTAATGGCTGACATTTTGCACCATAAAACATCGCAGGTCTCACCACCATCTTATAAAATGTTCCCTTAAGATTTAGTGGTAATTTTCTCTTTTGAAGTTCAACTTCTAATTCTGATTTATTTTAGGTAATTTTTTTATTTCAACATCCCTCTCTTTATATCCTGATTTTGCCACTACTTTTCACAATAGGACATTATAAATGGCTTTCGATGTGTTTGCACTAGAATTAAAATTTGTAGTTTAAGGGTTCGTTTGGGATGCCTACACCTATCCATTAAAGTTACCATATAATTATCATTGAGAAGTACTTTTTTTAAAAGTTATTGTGGATTTTATAATTTGTTTCCCTTTTGAAAAAGTTAGACAACATATAAGAGAGTAGATGTATTAGATTTAACCTGTGTTAAGAAATGACATTATTTTTTAGATGTATTAGATGTATTAGAGGTAGACCTAAAAAGAATTGGTTATAAAATATTAGAAATGACCTATGATGCACCAACACGGACACGACGACACGGACACGGGACACGACAATTTTTAAAAATATAGGACACGGGTGCAACGTGGACATGGCATAATAATTTTTTAATATAATATATAATAATTTTTAAAAATATAGGACACGAACACGACGTGGACAGATGGCTCTTTTGAACCTTCACCTAATCCACCCCCGACAGCAGCAGAGCTCATTTTGCTAACAAACCAATCATGCATATGAATACATCAAATTAAATTGATATGAAGTGAAATCAAAATATCCCAATAATAAGACAACATGAATACAACAATATACCGGTTTGTCGAGGGTCCAAGGGAGCGTTGCCCCCTGGCGGGGTTCGACCTGCCCGGTCAGGTTGCTGGGTCAAGGTTCCGGGGGCAGTGCCCCCGAAACAAAATTTTATTGTAAGAGTAATTTTGAAGCTCTGCTTGTTTTTAAAATTCGTAAGTTATTTGTATAGGAAGATACCGAGTGGTACCGAGCATGTACCTAGCAGTACCAAGCATGTACCTAGTGGTACTGAGCGGTACCGGGCATGTACCTAGCAGTACCGAGCATGTACCAAGCTGTACCGAGCATATATTGAGCAGTACCAAGCATGTACTGAGCGGTACCGAGCATGTACTGAGCAGTACCGAGCATATATTGAGAAGTACCGAGCATGTATTGAGCGCTACCGAGCATGTACCTAGCGATACCGGCATGGACACGTGTTTGACACGCATGTCCGATTTTAATTTTAATTTTTTAAATTGCGACACTCCAATGCTGTGTCGGACACGTGTCCATGTTGTGTCTGACGTGTGTCCGTGTCCTACACGTGTCCGACACTGCATACCCTCTGATGCTTTATTTTCTTGTTTGTTTTATTATGTTTTTGTTCCCAAGATTGTCCATTATAATAAGTCAAATATACATTTAGGACATTAAATCTTAGCATGTGTGTGATAAGTAATATATGTGCAGATAGTTACATCCCAGAGTATAATCACATGATATATGCACATAAGTCTATCAGACAACTTTAGTCTACAAAAGCATCATAACACCCTCAAATTATTTTTTAGTCTTTGCTGGATATTGTTCGCATGAGCTCTACTATGTGTTTGTCTAGTGAATTAATTAATTGGAATACATTAGTTTAAATTACAAAAAAGTTAAAAATTCATAAAATCACTTTATGGGAAAATACCTAAACTACCATTTTAAAAAACTCTCAGCTATTTTCTAAACATCTTAGATTTCTAAAACCATTTTGGTTGCTCAAGAAAGCAGAAGGCAACAGAAAACTATGCTAAAAAGAATAGTCACCCTATAATTTGGAATTTGGTTTCACATTTGTTAGAATAATGGTAACCTAACTATGATTCAACAAAAGTTATCCTAGATATAAAGGGATAGAAGAGTGAACCTTCTGCTTTGGAAAACTAAGCCATTAAGTACCTTCACGATATAAGTGAAGCAATGAATGCTGCTTTTCCTAACTACTAAGCTTCTTCATCTTTCATTTTTTTGCTAAATGCTGCATATCTACTTAACAAAACTTTTTAAAAGTAACTTCAATGTTTCTATAGTGCAAAACTTAAAGTATGAAGAATCAATAGAAAGTTTATTGATGATCAAGGTCAGACTGGTGGAACATAATAATGTACTATTTCTCTTTTCAGCCATATTTAATTCATCATAGTTCTTTAACTACTTGGGTGAAGATTATAATTAAACAATGAATTTCTATCTGCTAAGCATAAATTTAGTTGTTTAAAGAATTCCCGCTGATAGAGTGAGCAACCTTAATCAAACTGTGGATTGGTGAGATAAAACTTTTACAATCCAAATGATAGTCGAACTTCTTATAAAACTGCTCCCTTAGTGCAATTAGATACTCTCAGAGCCAGATCTTCAACAATCATCAACTTCCAAACCAAATAATTGTAATACTGAACCATTTATCTGTAAAAGAGCTTAGCCATAAGGTATTCTATATCCAAGACAATGTCAGCATGAGCTGCTTTCAAAAAAGAAGGGGGCTTTACATGCATACCACACAAATTTTATGTATTTCAATATCTAACACCTAAATTTTGATATTTAGTTACATAAACCCAAATCTTTAAATCAAATAAAAAATACCATTAATATTAACTTTTCAAAGTGAAATACACTTCTTTATGAAAAAAGAACATTGATAACCTAACATACGATTCTTTTGATCCCTTGTGTATAAAGTGTTCTTAATCAACCAAGATGAAAAGGTTGAAACCAATTGGCCTATAAAGAGATCAATGACCTAGATACCGAAAACTGACCTCATCCGCTCCATCTATGGCGAGATCCAACCGTGGGTGCTCAGCAAGGGTTGACAACGGTATGCCCAACGACTTGGCCTGCTCAAATGTGCGCTTCGACGTTGGAACGCCGATGATGTCGCTGAGTTTCCCAGAGGATAAAAGGTCACTGATCTCGGAAACGACGAAGGCCGCAGTGGATCCCGTGCCGAGGCCTAGCACCATACCGCTCTTAACGTATTCAACGGCCTTCACGGCTGAAAGTTTCTTGAGGTCATCTTGCGATAGTACGGTCGCCGGCGGGGTCGGAGCAGGGGACGAGAGGCAGCGGATGGAGCGGCGACGGAGAGTGAGGCGAGATGTGGTGGGCGATGGTATAATGGAGAATGTCGTCGCCGTCGCCATGGTTTGAGCAAGAGAGGACCAGGGGTAGCTGAAGAGTGAGGTATTGGTTAGGAATGAGGGAGAGAAGATTAGGAAAGCCGCGCGAGGGGTAAGAGTTTGTTTGCGGTTCGGCTTTTTTAATAAATGAACAAATGAAATGAGTGGACTTTTGTACCCCCAATTGAGTGCTGGGAGTTTTTTTCTACATTTATAAGATTAAAGTTATTATTTTGAATATTAGTGGTATTTATGTTGGATAAATTTTATTTTATATGCTCAATCATATTCAAATTTTAAGAAATATAATTATTTATTTATTCTTGAGAAATATATTTAAAAGTTCATTTTAAATCAAATTTTATATTTTTAAATTTTAACTGCATATTGAAGGTGTTTGAAAAAATAAATGATTTTAATTAGTTTCAAATTAAATACTAAATTGAACATTAATTTGAATGTGATTCAAATGCGTTAAAAAAAATTGAACCTAAGTCAATAAAGCTCGTTGAAGTAGGAATCATGGTCGTGATGTAGGATTTCGTGATGAGAGTTAGATGGGGTTCACGTACAAGATCATTAAAGCTAGGGGATTGCGGGAAATTATTTCGTGATGGGAAGGCACCTTGATGGGGCCTACGACGTGTGAGTGAAGATATTTCACAATGGGAGCTTGTTGGGTAAGGCAAAAATGGGACGATTTGTCTGGAGAGGTTCGTTATGGACTATAATTTGGGTTACTTAAAGTTTGAATTTTGTTCAAATCAGGTTCAAATAAGAGTTGATCAAATCAATATCGAATCTAATTTAAATCAGTACAAATCGCATATGAATAAAATTTGCATTTGAACTATTAGAGCCAAATTTAGCTAGTGACAGACTTTAATAAACAGTTTGTGCATAAATAAGAGGGCTAATTTGGTCAAAAAATAACTTTGATACATCATCAAATAATTATCTTGATCATGCGTGAATCTTGAAGCAAAATCAAGTTGGAAGCTTCAAGAATTAAAATTGAAACCATTCGAACTTTGATTTCTGCAAACTTATAGTCGAACTGATTGTCTCAGAAACACGAATCAATGACACCAAAATCAACTCAATCTTAGCCCAAATAAGTCCAAATCAAAGACTCGAATAACTTTTCGAAGGATCAAACGACAATTTGGGTTACCAAACGATCTTCAATCGTTACATGCTTATAGTCAAATCGAGCGGCTCAACGAGACAAATACAACAAACCCCTCATCAAATTATTATATCATTAAGATTGTCAAAGTTTCATTGAATGGTGCATGATCGTATGAATCAAGATCGGCCGTCCATCTGAATCACTCTCAATTTACCCTTGATCTTTCACTTATTTACAATCCATGCCACTCAAGAATTCTATAAATAGAATCTCATTTACTCTTGAAAGGGGGGGAGAGAAAGAGAGAGAGAGAGAGAGAGAGAGAGAGAGAGAGAGAGAGCTAAGAGAGAAGAAGGAAGAGAAGAAAGAACGCTCCACCTGCCTAGCTCCTCCTCGACACCACTAGAGTTTTGCTGCACCATCGTCGAAGTTCTATCGCACGCACCATCGCCAGGTTATATTATGTTGAACCCCCGCCAAATCTTCCAAAAACTTCGAAGTGCCACCTGAAGCCGGAGTGCCCCCTGACACTGAAGTGGCACTACCGGACCACCGCCTGACACTGAAGTGCTGCCGGACCAACACCTGAGGCATGGACTTCTGCTGGACAATCACCTGAAGTCCCGAGTTCTGCCGGAGAACCGCCCTACTACTATAGCCTTTCTGACCTCGGTCTCCTACCAACCACGGTCCTTCAAACCCCAGTCTCCTGCAGATTATGATCCTTCTTACCTCCATCACCTACTATGATCCTTCTGACCTCCCTCGCAAAACAATGGTCTTTCTAACCCTAGTCTCCTGCATACTACGATCCTTCTATCCTCTGTCGCCTACTATTATCTTTCCGACCTCCCTCGCCAGACAACAGTCTTTTTGAGCCTAGTCTCCTTCTGACCTCCCTCGCCAAACAATGGTCTTTCTGACCCTAATCTCCTGTTGACTACGGTCCTTCCGACCTCCGTCGCCTACTACAGTGACCTCCCTCGCTAATCATGGTGTTTCTGACCCCGATCTTCTGCCGATTATGGTCCTTCTAACTTCCCTCGTCAGACAACAATCTTTTTTACCCATATCTCCTGCTGACTACGATCCTTCCAACTTTTTCCGCCTACTACGATATTTTTGACCTCTATCCTATCGACTATGGTCATGCCAACCAAATAAATGTGTCTATGTTGATTATTGTTACTCCCACCATGTAATGCGCTCTATATGATGTACATTTGTGACATCAAGCCAAGACCTTCTCTCAAGGAATGACCTAATTTGTAATCAACTGCAAATAGTAGTGGATTCTTTCAAATTGGGCCATGCCCCATGATTTTCCCCCTTTTTCATGGGTTTCCACGTAAAAACTCTTGTGTCTCTTATAAATGCTGCAGCCCCTCTCTTCCATCTGCTTGTGTGATGGATCTTCATACAACACTAAGACGTTAAACTATATACTTCTCTATCACCGCGAATATTTCAGGACGCAACAAACTTTAAAGCATATTTTTCTAAAAAATGAAGAAGTATACATATTTATCTAATTAAAACATATCAATTCAAATTTCCCTTTTACTTTGACTTTAAATAAAATAAAATCATGAGTCAGATATATTACATTTATTTAAATAAATGGTTGCAATAAATTCGAAATATAAGTAGATAATTTCCTGATAATATTAACCATATTGAATGATTTTTGTGGTAAAATACAATGGTAATATGATATAACTTGCTTTATTGACAATCCAATCTTTATAAGAATTGATTAAATTTGATCAACAAGTAACATTTATGTCATATATCAAAGCCTTCTAAACATGAATTGGAAAAGGCTTTGGAACTCTCCTCGTTCCTTTTTTATTTCTAACAAGCACAATTTGCTTCTCATCCAAACCAAATTTGTTTAGGATCTTCCTTCTTCTATTGACCCCATCGTCTCCATCAACACAAATAACTCTTTTATCATCACTCACAATCATCTATTATCCTTCACCAAGTTGAACCCTTCTTCTCACAATCATCTAGTTTCTTCACGTTAAGAATTTAATCTGATCATACAACCTTAACCTTATGTGTATTATTGAAACCAAATCCCATAATAACTTCCTCAACGACCCTTAGTTTTTAACTCCCACATCCTCTTTGCAAATGAAAATAGTTGCCATAATTTTTTACACAAACTCCTCTAACAGGATCCGGTTTAAAAGGAACTCTCCCAACATTTTTTTATAATATTTTACATTATCCATTTTTGTCATTTAAGATTAATATTGTTGGTCCAGGAGTATTCACAGTGGTAGAGAAATATAAAATTAACGTCTTAGCATTGTACGAAAATCCGGCACGCAATCAGATAAGAGAGAGTGTGTAGCATTCACATGGGACACCAATATATTTACGTGGAAAGGCCCTAAAAAGGAGAAAAAACCACGGGGCTTAGCCCAATTTGAATGAATCCACTATTATTTGCAGACGATTACAAATGAGACCCTTCCGTGGGGGAAGGCCTTAGCTTGATGTACATCTTATAGAGTATATTAAACGGTGAGAATACAAAGAATCACTATTGACGTGTTCGTTTGGTCAGAAGAACCATAGTTTTGTGACGGAGGTTAAAAGAACTGTAGTCGACGAGCAACTAAGGTCATAAAGACCGTTGTCTGGCGACGGAGGTCGGAAAGACTATAGTAAGCGAGGGACGTAAGTCAGGGTGATCATAGTCGGCTGCCGACGGAGGTTGGAAGGATTGTAGTCGGTGGGTGACGAAGGTCAGAAAGACTGTAGTCGGCGGGTGACATAAGTCAGGAGGACCGTAGTCGACGGACGAAGGAGGTCGGAAAGACTGTAGTCGGTGAACGACGTAAGTCAGAAGGACCGTAGTCGGCGGGCGACATAGGTCGGAAAGACTACAGTCGGCGGGCGAAAAAGTCAGGAGGACCGTAGTCGGTTGGCGACGGAGGTCGGAAGAATTGTAGTCGGTGGGCGTTGTAAGTTAGGAGGACCGTAGTCAGCTGGCGACGGAGGTCGGAAGGTCCAGCGCCGGGTAGAAGTCCGACGTCTGTCGGTGGCAGAGGAGAACTCTGACATCACTTGGGCAGAGTTTTGGCGTCAGGAGGGAACTTTGTCGTTAATTGGGAAGAATTTCAACATCCCGTTGAAGTTAGGCAGAATTCTGGCGTCCCATGGAAGTCGGGCAGAATTCCGGCGTCATTTGGAGTTCGGGCGAAACTCCGGCGGTGGTCGAGGAGGAGTCTCTTCCCTCCTATTCTTCTCTTCTTCTCCTCCTCTTCCTTGCTTCCCCCATCTCAAGAGAAATGATGGGTCTATTTATAGATTTTCTGGAGTGGCATGGCCCATAAATAGTTGAGAGATCAGGGGCAAATGTGGAGTTGTTCGATGGACAGCCGATATTGAATCCCTTGATCATGGACCATTCGTCATACATTTGAAGGTCTTAGTGGTGTCGGAATTCAGCAATCTTGGGCTCGTTAGATTTGTCTCGTCGAGCCGTTTGATTCGACCATAAGCTGGTCAAGTTCGGAGACCGTTTGGTAACTCAAATTGTGGTTCAAACCTTCCAATAGAGCTTCGGGTCCTTGATTTGGACTCATTTGGGCTCGGATTGAGTCGAATTTGATGTCTTTGGGTTCGTATTTCTGAGACGCTCAGTTCGACTATAAGTTTGCTGAAATCGGAGTTCAGATGATCCAGAATTTAATTTTTGAAGTTTCCAACTTGATTTTTGCCTCGAGATTCGTGCCCGATCAAGATAATTTTTTGATAATATATCAAAGATGTTTATATGCGCTACTTCTTGACATCAATTTTCAGTTGCCTCAATAATGTGCTATTAGACAATAATGATATACACTCTCCCTTATTAGAAGATTCTTAAAAAAAAAATTAACTTAATTTTTTATCATAAGCAATTATGATATTTTTATTCTTGTTTCTATGAGCATTGCAACATTTATCATCCCTATTTATTTACTCTGTTCTAGAATTATTTCAGCCTTCTATTCTCCACTTTGATGACTAGAAGTCTACAACGATATATTACAGTAAAAAGAAAAAAAAAAATCCTATATATTTCGTTTACGCTCATGCCTTCCACGAGTAGAGCACGTGCCCAGCCTTGTCATTTCTCTGAGTACGGACGGCTTGCTCGCCACGCGCAGGGGCTCGTTTTCTCGCGAGACCAATACGCTAGGAATTGTAGCTGTTGCTCTCTTCTACACTTTTTTCTCTCTGTCATCGCAGCAGCCGTCGCCATGGCCTCCGGGATCCATCGAAGCCAGGTCGGCATCATACCCCTCGATCTCCTTTCTCTGTTATCCCACACTATTTCTCAATTCCTTCTCGATAGGTCGATCTCGTAGATTTCGTCGATTGGAGGGGAGTCGAATGTCTCAACCAGAGTTCTGCGCACGTTATCGATAACGCCCTCAAGCAGGTGATTTTTTGAATCCCAACCTACACCCTTGCAATTTCCCAGTTGCCTTTTCATAATTGTCAAGATCATGACACACGAGTTTTTTGGGTTCTAGGGTTATCGGGATGACGATGGGCTGCACCTTGAGAGTGACGCCGACGAGCAACTTCTCATCTATATCCCCTTTACCCAGGTGGTTAAACTACATTCGGTCGTGATCAAGGGCCCGGAAGAGGAAGGTAATGCTTGTACCCTAAATCAATTTCAATTTTAAATTGATGTAATCCTTAAAGTTGAAGCACGTGAATTGTATGTGGATCAACTTTCCCAATAGCTGTGAAGGTTATCAAGTCAAATAGCCATTTTAGAAGCTCTTTTATGAATGCATTAGCTTCAGATGGAATACTGAAGTGAACTTGTGGGGTTTCTTTTTTGTTAAATGTGAGCCATGGAAGGCCCACGTGCATAGTTAAATAAGAATGCGGATTGTTCTGTATATATACATTCTTATTCAGGATACTTGTTGTCTCACAGAAGTTTTTAGATGGTACTAGCGGCCAATAGACTAATTGCACTAGTTAGAATTTCCAGGAATAAGGAATAGATTAAGAAATGGTGAGCATTGCACTCTGTATATTTCCTGAATAGCGTTATGATTTGGGCTATTCCTTTGTCCGTTGTTATTGATGGTCTGGTAGCAAGCAAATAAGTGGGTACAATAACTGTTAGGTCAGTCAAGGTAACATACTTTAAAATATGCATATGCAAAACTCATCAATTGAAGAACTTAATCCAACCAATTGATTGCCGTATTACTAAGGTTATATTCTTTCAAATTTGCGCCTCAGAAAATTTATCCACTTCAAACAGATTTGCAACAGCTTATACTTTTATGATTTAGAAGCAGTTGTAGTGATGAGCATGATTTTATTTTTTAGGTCCTAGGACACTGAAGCTCTTTGCTAACAAAGAGAACATGGGATTTAGGTAATATCTACCATCCTTGATTTACGCTAATCCTCATAATGTGTCCTGGAATATTTACTTATTGTCCAGATAGTAACTTGAATTTCTTTATTTTTTTGCAGTAATGTCAATGACTACCCACCTAGTGACTCATTAATTCTGTCGCAGGATGATTTGAAGGTAGCTTGTTTCATTCGGGCACAAACCTATTTGCTTTTGGTTCATGTTTTTAATTTTTTTAATTTTATTATTATTTTTTAAATCGGTGTCTTTTGAAGTTTATGCATTTTCTTGAGTGCTTCTCATTTTTTCCATATGCTTTATGGGTGAAATCGGTTAATTTTTGTGTCTTTAACAGGAAAAACCTATTAGTTTGAAGTATGTAAAGTTTCAGAATGTTCGTAGGTACTCAGATTTGTAAATCACTTTACCTTTTTCTTTAATTTGTCTTTTTAAAATGATGTTATATCGAAATCATAACACAATTCAATCATGTTTTATTTAAATTTTATTAGCTTGACAATTTTCATTGAAGACAATCAAGGTGGTAATGACATCTCAAAGGTTCAGAAGATAGCCCTCTATGGAACTACGTAAGCTTATAATGCAATTTTAATATACTTCTTATCTTCAATTTAGTATTATTGCTAATGATCAAATGATGAACAAGACTTCATTGAATGATTAGCTTAATGTTGTGTACCGTCTAAGAGAGCAATTAAGATATGTAAATCTAAGATCTTAGTTGTAGGTGAATGCCAATCATAGTAGATGGCATGGAAGCAGGCACATTAGGTGGAGGCAGATGATGTTGGCCGGTATAAACCTTTAGTGTGGAAAGATCAAGCACCAGAGAAATCGATGGAAGTGGAATAATGGAATACTAGGGGAAAATTTGGCAGTGAATTAGTCAAGAGAGTATTAGGAGGATGCCTCATGAAAGAAAAATTGACGGAGATATAGAGTTGATGGGGATAACGTTGATAACCTTTATGAGAGTATTTCATGTCTGGGATAAAAAGAGTTCGAAAAAAATACAGTAAAAAAAATTAATAAGTTAAGAGGAAAAATATTAATGTGTGTAAAGAAGTGAAAAGGGAGTAGTAGCTCAAAATAGTGGATGCCACACGATTGATTAAGTAGTTGGCTGTTAGTGTGGCATCTCTCCAAAAGATGCCCTGAAACATTCTTGTGAATAAATAGGTTACTAGCATAATAGATTTATTTTTGAAAGCCTTAGTCTCTATATTTCTTTTTCCATATTGACCCCAATAAAGGATGGAGCTTGGAGAATGCATATAGCTTATGGAGCCATAACCAAAAAGTATTTCTTATACTTACATTAGATGACATGCTTGACTTAGTTTCTACTTCAAAAGATTTCCTTAAAATTGTAGTAACAAATGGATAACATCATATTAGGATAAGACCTCAAGATGATTGGAAGACTACATTTAGGACTTCAATGGATTGACTCAATTACTTGTAATGCTCTTCAATTTACTTAATGCCAACATATTCGTGAGATTGATAAATAGAGTATATAGGCCTTTTCTAGGAAAATGCATGTGGGCATGTTTTAATGATGCTTTAATTTTCTGTACTGATGAGGAAAAACATTAGGAATATTTGAAGTTGGCTTTAACAAATTTAAGGGAGGAAAAGTTTAAAATTGTATGCCAGTCTTAAAAACTGCTGCTCCTACAACAGAAAGTTTTTTTTTTTTTCCTCCCATGGAATCCAACCTGATCCTACAAAGATAAAACCATTATTGATCAGCCAACTCTTAAATAATTTTTTATTCTTAGGAGCTTTCATAAATTTTCTATATTTTATTGGAGGTTGATTATAAATTTTAGTAATATTATGCCACCCATCATTGATATCTTGAAGAAAGATAAATTTTCATGGACCACTTATGACGAAAAGCATCTTCTTAAATTAAAATTTTGAGGCCTTCTTCAATTGTTCTGCGGCTGTGCTGTCTTTTTTTTGTTGAAGTTTTTGGAGTGTTTTATGATGCATCTTACATTGAAATTGATGGTGTACTTAGTCAAGAAAACCACTTATAGTATTTTTCACTAAAAAACTCAAAGATGCATAATGAATATATTTTAAATATGAAGGAGAGTTTTATGCCGTTATTCAATTATTGAAATAATAAAGATGTAATCTTTTGTATAAATAATTTATTTTGAGTTATGATCTCTTAATTTCATTGTACACAATAAAAGTTTTGCAGTAATCATGCAAAATCAGTTGAATTTTTGTGAGATTTTTCCTTTTTTTGTTTAAACATAAACCAGGGGTTGACAGCCTGCCAATGTACTGCTAGAGTTGCTTTAATGACATCTTAGAATTGCAATTTTTTGGTTTTGAAAGAATAAATAAAGATATTCACTTTGACTTGATTTTCATATGATATGTATCAAGAGGATGAAGACAAACCTTCATCATTAATGAGATTGCTTATGGTGATTGATCGATATTTGCATGGAGGAAATCAATTGTGGAGTCATAGCTCTTATTGAGAGAGTTTTTTTTTTACTGAAGCACTTTTTGGTGGTATTGCTGGATATTTTTGGAAGGACAAAATGATCAATCTAATATAGAATATAGTTTATTAGCGGTCAATGAAAAGAGATGTTGAAATAGAGGTTTCTTAATATTATACTTGGAGGGTAGGGAAGATCACGAAACATAAATCTAGAATATACACTTAATTTATCCTTATATATCTTTGGAAAATCTTTTTATTGATTTCATCTTATGACTACCTAGGACTTCAAGAAGACATGGTCTTATCATGTCTTATATAACCAGCTAATCCTTATGCTTGTAACTCTCAAACAAGAAAATCTTGCTAGTATGTATGTGCCATGCATAGTTTTGCGTTTTTTGACCCTTTTGAAAGGAAGCCATCACACAATGTGTAACATGAAGTCAATTATATTTGATTTATTTTCTAAAAAAGATTGATCAAATTAAAGTTAGTGCATATAGGGTTTTGATCTTCTTTCTTTTCCTGCAAACCCTAATTTTTTGCATTCATAGCACTAAGCAAGATAAAAATTCTACTTAGTGCATGATCAACTTTATTTCGAGTGCATGTTAGCATTTAAGAACAAAGGAATGTTCTTGTATAAATGCAAGCCATTTTGCATGATGTGTATTCGACTTTTCCTGGATTGTGTATATTCCAAAACTTGTTGTTCAAATTATATGACAAACTCTAGGTGAAAATCGTAATTATGCTATTACATTAAAGCTTGCACTGCTGACTAAGACTTCTAGAGGAATATTATTTTTGTACAAAAATAACACATTTTCTTCCATGTTTCAAAACTAATGATGCATCAACATGCAAAATTATTTTTTCAAGGAGATGGTTATACCTTATTGTTTACCAACCAATTTCTAATAGAGATATTATGTTTGTTTCATATCTTTTAAGAACATTATGAATTTTTTTCTTTTGAACGAGATAAAAAAATTTCCCAACCTTTCATCCATGAACAGATGGCAACATAAGTGATAAATAGAACCTAAGAAAACTTAAGATATTTATTAGGGGAGAATATTCATAATCAAGATCGTCATTTACCTATATATGAATTTATTTGTATTAGTGCAATTTCTAAAACCACAAATAATTCACATTTTGAAAATGTCTATCTGATGAGGACATTCGACCGTGGAAGAGGATGGGCCGGAGATCTACGGCTACGATCGGATTGCTCTATTTATGAGCTTTTATTTGTATTTGATTTATTATGTGTAATTTTTTATTTTTACCGTCACTTGAGAGAGTAGGTTTATGTGACCCCAGGGGGCATTTTTGTCATTTGATGTTTTATTGTATTTTATTTATTTATAGGCCTCACCTTCACCTTGGGAGGGACGATGATTATTATGAATGAAATTTTTGCACTTTGTGTCTTGGTGTGTTTTGAGAGCTTTGAAAGTTCTTGTGAGAGTTTATGCGAAGTCCCTAGGTGAGGGCAATGCAAGACCTGTCAGCCGCAGGAAACGTTTGGGCTCACGGTTTATCTCCGTCTCCATCTACCATCAAGCTTGCCCTGCCCCCACTTTTCTTTCTCCAAATTGATCCTCCAACATTTCCTAATTTAACCTAGCACTAATTTAAAAAAATATGAATTCAAATTTGAATTCTCCTAAAGCCTTGATTTTTTGTTCCTAAATTGGTGGATTCTTTTTGGAAAGGCATCCCCATCAATAAATATGAAATTTAAGTGAGAAATCCTCATCGATTCTCCTTCCTAAATTAGTCTAGCCTAATTTATGTAAATCTGAATTCAAATTTGAGTTCTCCTAAAACCTTGAATTCATTTCATAAATTATTGGATTATTTTTTGGTAAGCTATCCCTATCAATAAATCTGAAATTCAAGTGAGAAATCCTCATTGATTCTCCTTCCTAAATTAGCCTAGCCTAATTTATGAAAATCTAAATTCAAATTTGAATTCTCCTAAAATCTTAACTTTCTTTCCTAAATTGTTGGATTATTTCTTGAAAGGTATCCCTATCAATAAATCTTAAATTTAAGTGAAAAATCCTTATTGATTCTCCTTCCTAAATTAGCCTAGTCTAATTTATGGATATATGAATTCAAATTTGAATTCTCCTAAATCATTGAATTCCCTTCCTAAAGTGTTGGGCTATGTTTGGAAGGATATCTCCATCATCAAATCTGAGTATTGATTGAACATTTGAATTAATTCGTCTTTCCTTTAACAATATGCTTTAATTGGCAACCCAATTAAGGCCCCAAATCAGCCCCAATCTTTGATAAGGTCGTCAACCCTCCTCCCCCTCCCTCCTCGTCCTCATTGATCCTTACTATAATTATACAAATTATTTGGACATAAATCTTAGGTCCAGATTTATGCTAATTGTTGTCCTCTTAGTACGCCAGTACGGTTGCCATCCAATGATGATTGTGTCTATTTTCCTACTATCAAACGCTTGCTATCTCCTTCCCAATTTATCATAAGCTGCTGTCCAGATTTTCAAGGGATGATAGAACACTGTCCAAACGTGTGAAAAGGGATTCATATTATTGTCCTTCCCACCAAGACAACCAAACGACTTTGCCTCGGCTTAATATCTTTGTCTATGCAGGTAAATTCCTTCCCTCCCCTTGTACCTTTTGATCCCTCCTCAACCATGACATCGTTTCATTGTGAAAACTTATTCGCATAGCCCATACCAAGTGCTTGTGTGAGTGGGTCTTTGTAGTGACTAGTCTATTTGTTAATTTTGGGATTGTCTCTGAAACATCACGTGAGCATGATATTAATTTATTTGATTATATAATGGTCCTCCTATTATCATGGGATTACTTGCTTAAACTTGATCACCCCCTTGCAAGCTAAAGTCCTTATTTAAGTTCATTTGGAGTTAATTAATTGTCAATCTCTATTCACGCATGCGTAATTTTCAGCTCAACATCACTTACACATCTAGTTCTGCATCACTATGGTTATAATTTTAAAAGGCTAATTGATTTAACAAGTATTCACTCATGCATTTTTTTTATTATGGCATTGCATAACCCTACGTAATAAGAGGC